CTAATGCATTTAGAAAGAGTTGAGGAAGAATATATACCAGGTTACTGACAGATGAGACCAATGAGGCAGGAAGCAGGAGTGAAGGGGATAGGGCAGTAAGTGGTTTTTGTTTCATGTCTTATTGTGCTGTCATTTACAAACTCATTTCAACAAGAAATGTTTCCTGTAATTAACCAAAGCAGTATAGCCAAATGGTTCAGTATACACCTCCAGTGCCAGACCAGGAGAGACTGCATCTTAATTCCACCGTGTCCTCGCCAGAGGAAATACGGCAAATTATTGAACCTCTCTGCCTCTGCTTCTACCTCTGAGAAAAGGGCATGATAACAGTGCCTACTTCATAGAGCTACTGTGAAGATTCACTGAGTTGGCCTATGAAAAGCATCCATGACAGTTCCTTTACACAAGGTAAGCCCTTAATGAGACTGGCTGCTATTTTTTTTTTTTTTTTTAAATGGAGTCTCGATCTTGTTGCCCAGGCTGGAGTGCAGTGGTGTGATCTTGGCTCACTGCAACCTCCGCCTCCTGGGTTCAAGTAATTTTCCTGCCTCAGGCTTCTGAGTAGCTGGGATTATAGGCATGCGCCACCATGCCTGGCTAATTTTGTATTTGTTGTAGAGATGGGGTTTGTCCATGTTGAACAGGCTGGTCTCGAACTCCTGACCTCAGGTGATCTGCCCACCTCAGGCTCCCAAAGTGCTGGAATTACAGGAATGAGCCACCATGCCCAGCTGAGAGTGGCTACTATTCTTATCATTAGACTAACTTCGAACACTGACATGAGAGAGGTGAGCTCAGCAATGATCTGGTCAAGGTCTGCAAATGATCCAGCAAACTCTTACAATCTTTGGGAGAAGCCCAGTGCCCTGCCCATGCCAGGAACTAACTAGTTGATAAATGAATGTATGCTGCCTCCATTTACCCACCACTTCTGGGGCTGTCTGGAAGGAGCATTGGCAGGTGCATGCCCAACACATCCACTCTCTGTCTTCTTCCTTATTGACCCTTTGCTCAGGGTGGCAATGAGGCCAAGTGAAAAACTACAGATGTCCTTGTAGCAAGGAGTGGTCATGTCACAAAGTCCTAACCAAACAGTCACAAGCAGAAGTCTGCTAAGGATTTCAGGGAAGGCTTTGGATTCCTGATACAGCTGCTATCTCCTTTCCTTAGACCTCTGCCTCTGCCTGCCCACATCACAAGGATATCTGGCTGGAAGTGAAGCAACCATTTTATGAATACAAGGCTAAGGATGGTGACACAGATAAGGAGGGGCCTGGAGCAGCAGAGAGAGAATAAAGAGAGCACCGCCTTATCCTGCTGAGCTCTGCACTTCTTACATGAGAAAATGAACCCCATGGTAGCCAGGATACAGAGATGCCCCCAATGGACCACAACTTGGAAACTGTTTTGTGACATCCCTCCCATATTGAATCTGGGCTAACTCTTCCACTCACATTAACTAACAGAATGAAGCAGAAGTGATGTGGAGTCAGTTCTGGATCTAAGCCTTAAGAAGGCCCACAAAGCCTTTGGCTGCCATGTTATAAGTCCAGCTACAGGCTGGCTAGGCCACATGAAAGGAGAGGTTCCAAGACTATGGACAGACATGGACCCGGCCATTCCCAAGATGCCATTTCAGTAAAGCCATCTTGAATGTTCCAGCCCCACCCACCCTCTGCCTTCCCTGAAATCCTTAGCAGACTTCCGCTTGTGACTGTTTGGCTAGGACTTTGTGACATGACCACTTCTCGCTACAAGGACATTTGCAGCCACATAACAGACCCCAAGCAAGATCAACAGAAAAGCCATCCTGCTGAGCCTCAGCCAACCACAGGTTCACAAGAAATAAAAAACTGCTCTCATTTTAAGGCCTTAAAGTTTGGGGGTGGCTTGTTGTACAGCAATAGATAACTAGAACAAACCTCTATCTGGGTACAACACTGTACAAGTCTCATGAAGACAAGCACAGTCCCTAACTCAAGTGCCACCTGAAAAAGAAACACACGATCAATCACAAATTCAAACAAAATTGCACGTTCTGATTTCCAACCAAGATTATTAATATGAAAAAACACGAACCTGTCCCTCCACTCCTATTTCACAATAAGTACATTAAACACAACTAATCTAAGTGCCATGAATCTATTAATTGTTATAATAATGAAAAAGCATTTAAATTGCTTTTCGGTTCAACATGGTGCTGGACCTGATGAGAACCCTCCAAAAATACATCTTCTATCTGAACCAGAGGTATCATCATAATACTGTTACTTCATAGTCACTCTCAAAGGCCTAGAGCTTAACAAGGTGGCCAAACGGGTTGGATGCCTGCAATCTAATTAAAGAAGCCTATTAATAAAAATAATTTTAGGGAGGGAAAAAACTCTAGATGCAAAGGGAATGCCCATCAGGGATGTCTTGGCCAAATGAATTATGGTGCATCCACACCACTGTGTTATGCAGCCACTAAAAAGAGCAAATTGAGCACTACGCAAGGATTCAGAGGCATTTCCACATGACACTGCTATGTGAGAAGAGCAAAATGCAAGACAGTAAGTGTAATATTATCTCCTATAGGATTATATAACCATGAAGAAAAATGTGGAAAGATACATACAGTCCTTGATTGTTACCATGGGTGAAGGATTGCAAGAGGATGCTGACATAAGGGTGGAGCGGGGTGGTGGGAGGAGGCACAAGAAAGTGAAGGGACAGACCGAAAATATTTAAAAGGGGCTTGAAAAGAATTCATAAAAATAATTATCTATGGCCGGATACAGTGGCTCATGCGTGTAATCCCGCACTTTGGGAGGCCAAGGAAGGTGGATCACAAGGTCAGGAGTTCAAGATCAGTCCGGCCAACATGGTGAAACCCCATCTCTACTAAAAACACAAAAATTAGATGGGCATGGTGGCGCGTGCCTGTAATCCCAGCTACTCAGGAGGCTGAGGCAGGAGAATTGCTTGAACCAGGACCCGAGAGGCAGAGGTTGCAGTGAGCTGAGATTGTACTACTGCACTCCAGCCTGGGTGACAGAGCGAGACTTGGTATCAAAAAAAAAAAAGAAAGAAAGAAAAAGAATTATCTTTTTTTAAATCTAATTTGCTGGGTGCTATCTATGCACTAGACAGTGCTGAGTCACCTGATCTCACTTTGACTTCTCGTTTAATCATCTATTAATTGTCCCCATTTTCAAGATAAGGAAACTGCAGCCCAGAGAAGTACTGTGTGCCCACAGCTGAGGCAGTGTTGGGGCTCATGCACTATATGAAATAAGTAAAGTATAATAAGAGGGTCCCCAACTCAAACCCAAAACTTCCGCATCTGAAGCTCAAAGGACACGTGTTAAATGTGGTAGAAGAGTTTTGCTGCTGCTCTGCACACTGTTAAAATAGCAGCAGGTCCTGACGTGCAATGATGTATGCTACAGCGGCACGAAGTCCATCAGCACCTCATTCCCCTGGTGCCTCATGCTGGGAGAAATCCAAGAGGGCCACTGACCTCACTCCATGAGCTCAGGGAAGCCCTGCCCAGGATATTTGTACAGAATCAATTGCTGACACCGGGAGCTAGAAAATAGATGAGGACGTGTCAGCTATTACACGGTCAGATTCTTTGAGCTCACCATTTAATTAAAACTTGTTCGGCCCCAGAGCAAGAATTATTGCCCATTAAAGCAGGGGAGATGGATCAACTGTGCCTCGGCTGGTTAATTGCTACTTCCCAGGCATTTCCTGGCCTCCTCCTGCAGGAACACCAAGCAGGAGCTGGAGATATACACGAGATGTGTGTCTATGGTGCTATCTTCCATACAGCCTTCTTTTTACCTAAATTAACTGTACATCCTCTGCACTTACTAGGCCAAGCTTTTCTGTTCCAGGCCTCATACACCCAGGCTGCCCCGATGAGTCACTGCCAGGCCGGGGCTGCACAGACTGCAGGGGTTGCAGGATAAGAAGCCAGAGGGCTGGATGCTGCAGGAAGGTCCCAGAGAGCCGCTGGTGGCCAAGGGGAGGCATCTCTGCAGGCTGCCTCACCCATGGCCACAGGTTCCTGGGAAAGCTGACACCCTCCTCAAACCCCAAACAGGGCTGGCCACCCATCCTTGGACAATGCTGCACCTAATATAAATTCATTCATATCATAATTTAGCCTGCACCCACCACGTGTCAGGAACTGCTCTACAAGGATGGACACAAAAGTGCCTATGCTTCTGTGGAGCCTAGAGCTGGGAAGCAGAGCATAAAGTATGTCAAGTGGTAATAAATGCTTTGAAGAAAAATAAAGCAGGGAGTAAGGGCTAGGGTGAGGGAGACGGTGCTATTTCATAAGGAGAGAGGCCTCATGGAGAAGGTGACATCTGAACAGAGACTTGAGGGAGGGAAGGAGGAAGGGAGGTGGTGCTGGGGATTCTAGGAGAAGTGTTCCTGGCAGAGAGAACAGCCAGGGCAAAGTGTCTGAGGGAGGAACAGTGGAAGGCCAGTGTAGCTGGGTACAGCAAGCAAGTGGCTGAGAAGTCAGAGATAAGGTCAGACAGGGAAAATGGGGGCCTGGGGATGGGGTGGGGGCACTTGAGCACCGCTCAGTCCCCAGGCTTTAAGCACTTTACAAAGATGACTCACCGGGTACTGCTGCTATTTCCCATTTCACAAGAAGAGGAAACTGAGGCCCAGAGAGGAAAGAGGACTCACTTGAGACCACAGAGCTCATGTGCACCAGGCTGGGCTGCCCTGCTGTCCTGGCACAGAAGTCTGCATCCAGCAGGGACTCAACTAAGAGTCACCGATTCCTTCTCTTGGGAGAAATGTCCTCCATCTCAGTCCCTCAACACCCAGCCCACTCTTTCTTCACATTTAGGAGAAGACAGGTAGACATTTCAGGGAGAAGAGGAGAGAAAAAAAAAAAGAAAACAAAAAAGCCAATTGTCTAACTCTGAAGAGGAAGAAACATTATTCACTTTCTCTGCAAGTCACTGCCACATTTAATGAATATCGCTCACCTGAAAGGCTCCCAGAACACGGCTCTAATCACAAAGTGGGCAGGTGGCTGTCAGGGAGCCCCAGGTGGGCTCCTCCTGTCCTGGGTCCTCCCAGGCGAGGCTACCTGCCTCAGCTCTCCAGGCCGACCTCGGTGGTGCCCGCCCCCAGCCCGCTGAGGGTGTCTGGAATGCGGAAACAGGAACTTGCCGTGCCAGCTCCTAACAGCAACTTATTCAACAGCCACAGGAACACGCTAGCCACCGGAGTTCCCCAGGAGATGGCTGGTCTTCGTGAACAGGCGCGTTCCCAAAGAAAGCTGTTTTGCCAACAGTCCCTTTGGGGGAGGGAAAGAAAAGGCCGCCTTACTCATCAGACACGCGGTCTGAGGAGTCTGAATGGGCTTCAGAGAAAGCTCACAGGTAACAAAGGCGGCTCGCGTCTTACCTCAGATTCAGGCACAGGCCACCTGTTCACTGACAGAGCCAGGTCTGGACTTGTGCCCACAGTGTCCCCTGCCCTGAGCTTGCACCTGGATGCTTCATTTAGAACTGTACAATCCAAAGGTGGGCTCTTTGGCCCGTGCAGACAAGGCACGAGCTCATAGAGGCAATGCCGCTTAATAATTAAACGCGGTCGCTGGACTCTTCCAGCCAGCTTTGGAAGCACAACCGAACAGCTTTGACTGGCTAATGATAACACCCACAACCGGAATGCTCACTGCACAAGGCGCTGTTCTAAGCGCTGCACATGAATCCTCTCTCCTAACCCTCACAGCAACCCTCTAAGGAGGGACTATCAGCATTCTTATTTTACAGATGAGAAGTTGAACAAATAAGTCACAGGCCAAGGTCACACAGGAAGAAGCGCTAGGGTGGGGATTTAACTCAAGCAGAGTGGCTCCAAGGTTCCAGTTTTTAAGCACTACTTTTATTTTATTTTATTTTGAGACAGTCTTACTCTGTTGCCCAGGCTGGATGGAGTGCAGTGGTGCAATCTCAGCTCACTGCAACCTCCACCTTCTGGGTTCAAGGGATTCTCCTGCCTTAGCCTCCCAAGTAGCTGGGATTAGAGGCATGTACCACCACACCTAGCTACGTTTTTAAAAATATATTTTTAGTGGAGACGAGGTTTCACCAAGTTGGCCAGGCTGGTCTCGGACTCCTAACCGCATTGGTCTCCCCAGTGCCAGGATGACAGGCATGAGTCACCGTGCCTGACCTTAACCACTACTTTAGCTCTCCTCTTGTAAGAAGAAGCAGGTGCTCCTACTGGGCCTCAGTTTCCTCATCTATGAAATGGGATGAGGAGTCAGTGAGAGCTTTATTACTGTTTTTGTAGAGACAAGGCTCTCACTGTGTTGTCCAGGCTGGTCTCGAACTCCTTGTTTCAAGCAATCCTCCCTCCTTGGCCTCCCAAAGCGCTGGGATTACAGGTGTGAGCCACTGTGCCTGGACAAGTGAGATCTTTTTGTGAGCTTGTGGTGCACAAAAATGCTCAATAACTATCAGCTGCACTCATATGCTGCCCTCAGAGTCAATTAGGTCTAGCTTATTCCTTCAAAATACTGAATAATCAGCTCATGGTCACAGAGTTTAAATTCTAGGCAGCTGAGGGAAAAGAAATTAAGAAAGGCTCTTACAATCCTTCTTTTCATGACACACACAAAAATAAATAGAACGTCTATTCTGAGTCAGGCACTGGGACACAGTAGTTAACAAAAACCACATAAACCCTGCCCACAGGGAGCTTATAGTCCCCTGTGAATGAACAGGCACAGAATATTCAAACATTTGCAGATGTATCACATACTGAGTGCTCCTTTGGGTTGGGCACTGTGATGGTCTAAGCATGTCACGTGCTTTGATGTATTTAATACTTCCAACAACCTAGGAGGGCAGTACTATTACCAGGTTCACCTTCTAGATATGCAAACAGAGACATGCAAGGCTAAGTGGCTTGCCCAAAGTAAAACAGAGACCCCAAGATGGATCCAGAACTTGCACTCAGCAGTCTGGCTCAGAGCCCATGCTGCATTGCTCAGCTCTTCACAGTCCCAGAGAGCCATGGCTTTACACTGCAGCCTCGAGCAGCAGCAACAGGCATCCTCAGGAAATTACAGTTTGCAAAAGGGATGGTCACTTTTCATATTTTTTTTTTTTTGGTGAGGGGGTGCAGGATTATCAAATACTACTTATTATAAGTCATATTTATGCTGGGCACCATGGCTCACACCTGAAATCCCAGAACTTTCGGAGGATGAGGTAGGAGGATCGCTTGAGCCCCAAGAGTTTGAGACCAGCCTGGGCAACAAAGTTGAGACTTCGTCTCTACGAAAGATAAAAAATTAGCCAGGTATGGTGGCATGAACCTGTGGTCCCAGCTACATGGGAGGCTGAGGTGGAAGGACAGCTTGAGTACAGGAGGTTGAGGCTGCAGTGAGCCATAATCGCACCACTGCACTCTAGCCTGGGTGACAGAATAAAACTGTCTCTAAAAACAACAAACAATGGCCTGGCACAGTGGCTCACGCCTGTAATCCCAGCACTTTGGGACGCCAAGGTGGGCAGATCACCTGAGGTGGAGAGTTTGAGACCAGCCTGACAAACACGCAGAAACCCCGCCTCTACTAAAAACACAAAAATTAGCCTGGCATGGTGAGTATAATCCCAGCTACTTGGGAGGCTGAGGCAGGAGAATCCCTTGAACCTGGGAGGCGGAGATTGTAGTGAGCTGAGATGGCGCCACTGCACTCCAGCCTGGGCAACAAGAGCAAAACTCCGAAACTCCACAAATAGCAGAGGCTTGGTAAGCACTTACCATGTGCTGGTCCCTGGGGGTAAGCCCTTGACCAGCATCCTCTCCTTTCATCCAAGGACAACCCTCAGAGGTAGAAACTCAGTCTTTGCAAGGAGGGGTAAGAGAAGGGGGAAGGGAATCAGGAGCAGAGAGCGGGGTGAGACCCAGGTGTTTCTGAGCAGAGTGAGTAAGTGCTCTCACAGACCACGCACTCTTAACCTTCAGACTCCTGCCTCATCACTCAACTCAGGTTTCCCTGAATTGTCAAACAAAATACTTGGTATTCCAACAAGATTCAGAGTTCTTGTGGTACAGGGACTCTGTGCACACAGTTTGAAAGGTAGGCAAGATTAGAGAACAAAAAGTGAAGTCCTGATTCAGGTAACTACAAAACAAAGTTGGTAAGCACAATGACAAAAATGCATGGGTATTATGCTTTCACTCTGTTTCACTTATTTCTGCAGCAGATCCAATTGTCTGCCTGCCCAATATCCACCCCCTTTCCCAGTCCTTTCCTAAATGGCACTCTTATTTTATTCCTGTAGCCACTTTCCTCCCTATACCACATACTTCAGGGAAGGCTGGCTCCAGCCCCAGCCCCAGTGAGTCAATCCTGATTGGCCCTTGGCTGATTTCTCCGGGCAAGGTCACATGTCACAATGTTGACCAATGAGATATGAGGAAAATCTGTGAGATAAGCAATCAATGAAACCTCACAGATTTTCCTCATATCTAAGTTGTAGTGCAATGGCACAATCTTGGCTCACTTCAACCTCTGCTTCCCAGGTTCCAGCGATTCTCCTGCCTCAGCAGGAGTAGGTGGGATTACAGACCCACCACCACACCCAGCTAATTTTTGTATTTTTAGTAGAGACCGGGTTTCACGATGTTCGCCAGGCTGGTCTTGAATTCCTGACCTCAGCTGATCCACTCACCTTGGCCTCCCAAAGTGCTGAGATTACAGGCGTGAGCCACCATGCCTGGACTAATTTTTGTATTTTTTAGTAGAGACAGGGTTTCATTATGGTGGCCAGGCTGGTCTCAAACTCCCAACCTCAAGTGATCTGCCCACCTTGGCCTCCCGAAGTGCTGGGATTACAGACCTGAGTCACCACACCTAGCCAGTTTCCACACTCTTAAAGAGATACACAGCAAATGAGAGATGCCCTCTTTCTGCTGCTGGATGTGGCCCTGTCAGGGTGTGCCAATTGGAGCCCTGGGCAGTCATCTTGTGGCCACACAGGGAGCCTAAGGACACAGGAGACACACCGCGGATGGCAAGGTGGCTTGAAGGAGAAGGACGGGGTCCTTGCAGGCATTGTGGAACTGCCTAGTCAACTCTTGTGCTGCCTACCTACAGGTTTGTTACGTAAGATCATAAATCTCTTTATTTCAGGCCAATTTCATCTGGGCTTCCTATTACAGTAGCTCATGGTTCTCAAAACAGGCTTCCTAGACCAGGGGCACCAGTGCCACCACAAAATGCAAATTCCCAAGCTAGATTTCCGGAATCAGGAACTCGGGGTGGGGCCCAGCAATCTGTGTTTTACCAAGCCCTCCAGGGATTCTGATCCTGGCTCAGGTTTTTTGTTTGTTTGTTTGTTTGTTTGTTTTTTGAGACAAAGTCTCATTCACTCTGTTGCCCAGGCTGGAGTGTAGTGGAACGATCCTGGCTCATTGTAACCGCCACCTCCCAGGTTCAAGTGATTCTCCTGCCTCAGCTTCCCGAACAGTTGGGACCACAGGTGTGCACCACCACACCCGGCTAATTTTTGTATTTTTAGTAGAGATGGGGTTTCACCATGTTGCCCAGGCTGGCCTCAAACTCCTGGCCTCAAATGATCTGCTGGCCTCGGCCTCCCAAAGTGCTGGGATTACAGATGTGAGCCACCGCACCTGGCCTTGCTCAGGTTTGAAAACCACTGCAGTAGCACACAGAGCTTAAGAGTTAGGATCCAACTCTGGAGTCAGACTGCCTGAATCCAAATCACATGACCATGCTTATACACTGCTGGTGGGAATGTAAATAAGCTCAGCCACTATAGAAAGCAGTTTGGAGATTTCTCAAAGAACTAAAAATAGAATTACCATTTGACCCAGCAATTCCATTACTGGGTATCGACCCAAAGGAAAAGGAACCGTTCTACCAAAGACAGCTGCGTTTGTAGGCTCATCACAGCACTATTCACAATAGTAAAGCCATGGAACCCACCCAGATGCCCATAAGCATAAAGATAATGTGGTACACATATACCATGGATTACTACAGAGCCATAAAGAAGAATGAAATCATGTCTGTTGCAGCAACATGGATGTAGCTGGAGATTATCCTAAGGGAATGAATACAGAAACAGAAGACCAAGCACTCCGT